TTCAATCAAACGGAAAACAAAAACTCGTCTGAGCAGTGTAACACATTGAAAAGAACAACAACAACACAGCAACAACACTACACAACAAAACAACAAGTTTGTTTATTGGGCTTAGGCCATTGTATGGGTAAGTCTTTCACAATAAATTTTTTTATTGTACCTTTCTTTAGTTTGAGCAGGGCTTTTCCAAGCGACTTATTTCTCAGCTATGCAACAGTTTAGGAGTCACTGTCAGCGTTTGCCTAACAACAGGTGGCCGGAGCTAAAATATTTTTAGATCGCAACTTTATATTTTTAGACATGCCGTTTAGGTTTCTTTGCCTAACAACAGGTGGAGCTAAAATGAATTTAGATCCATATAGATTGCTTTGAGGTATTTTAGTACAACTTTCCATTTAGTACATATACCGCTGATTCATATTCACTCGTAAAGAGCGTTAATTTGTAAAATCACAGTTCATGTGACTCACATGTAGATTATTTTTTGAACAAACAAAGCAATTCGATGGCGCAGTAATATTACTAATTTTAATTGAAATAAATAACAGTATGCTGAAAACCTTGAAATGCATTAGTTAAATTGAAAACAAGGTAAAGTTCGTGGAAATTCACGTTTGCCACGCTCAAGTGGGCGGAGCAGTTGAGCACATGAATCAGACACGTGCTGGCTCCCCCGTCGCCCCCATCGCCCCATCGCCCCGTCGCCTCATTGCCCCTTGTTGTTGCTCCATGCTCGATTGGGCATCATCCGGTGCTTCATTGCCGAGTTTCCAACGGCTCTCTATTTGATTTTTATGAACCCAGCGCATAATCAGCCAGACTTTATCAGCACTTGGGGCTAATTCTATATAACTACGCGTGACTTTCATTCATATATATGTATGTATATACATATATACAGTTGTCTCTGCCTATAAAGTAATGTGTACTCAAGTCAAATAACAAGTTAACGGAATGTCCCGTCATCTCTCCTGATTAACCTTGAGTTGTTTATTAGCCCCAGATGATTTTCATTTGCGTTGTATAAGCTTGATAGGCTGAATAACAAATAAAGCAGCTCGAATCATCATTTAGATTAGGTCCTTATACTAGACCTGTGCTACCTGAGCTAGGTCACGTGGAATTTGTCTTTTTATTTGGCAAATGCTCAAAATGTTGAGAAAGCAATTATAGAGGATATATAGTATATGTGTACATGTCTAAATAATGGGATAATTTCATTGCATACAAGTCTTATATAAGGCATAGACTACACCTATATTATATATAGTATAGAATTTATAGAAATGTACGAAAAAAGATAATAAATATATCTCCAAATTAGGATTTAAACACAAATCAATAAATCAAAATTAAATAAGTAGCTGTGCTTAGATAAACAATGTTTTGTTCCAAAGGTTTCTCTAAGATTTTAATGGAAAAGGTTGTAAGAAAGTAGTAAATCATTGAAATAAAATTAGTAAAAGATTTCATCCCAAAAGATCATAAATCTGAAATAAAAACATATTGTACGACTTATAAAATAAAATAGGCAGTAAATAAAGTAGTAAACAATGTATGCAAAAATATACCAAATAAGTATAGTAAAAGATTTTGAGGTTATTTTTTACTATTAAACAAACAGATAATGGAATTATATAATTGAATCGATAACTTATCGGTCAACACTGATACAGACTATTTGCCATTTAGAATC